TAGATGGGGTCGTCCAGAGCCTGTCTCCTAGTCCTCGTTCAACTGCAGAATCTGTGCCGTCCGTGAGGTCAGGCTGGCCATCTTTAGCCTCCTTGGTAAAGCACCTGGGAGCCGTTTTCATTCATCCCCCTTCAGCCCGGGAGCTCAGCACCCGGGGGCAACTCAGCTAAATATCTGTGGCTTCACCTGCCCACCAGGTTACGTGAATTCCCTGCCATTTTCTATAAACATTGGCAAGTTGGCTTTTCAAAATGGAGCTGTAATTTTAAATGTTTAATTTTATTATGTCTCTCTCCCAAGGACTTCGTCTCTGATAAACTCAAACCACATCCCAGCAGGCGCTTTAAAAGCTCGGTGACCGGAGCCCCCGAAGCAGAGCATCCTTCGCTCTGGCAGTGCACCCGGGAGGTTTCCTTGTTTCCCCAACGGGGAGGGAGGAACCCAGGTCCCTCCCCTCTCTCCCAGCCCCTGCCCATGGCTTTTCCTTTGGGACCACAGGGGAGTGAGAGATTTGATCAAGGAAAGGGGTAAACCCTCTGTGGGAACTTCTAAAATCCCACATGAGTCCCTCACTTCTTCGGCACCTGTCAGTCAGCGCCAGTCATTCCTTCGTTTGAGTAACAGTGTGAGGTGTTCTGAGGGAGCTGGCCCAGGGGCTGGCCTAGGTTAGGTCTCGCCAGTGAGGAAGGAGCTCACGTTCATGGGCCAGCAGACAGCAAGTCCGCTGCAGCGCCTGACCCTGACTGTGAGGCCCTCTCTCAGCCGGGGCAGCGCGCAGGATGGGAAGTGTGTGTGCATGGGGCTGCCTGTGGGGCAGAGGCCTTCAGTAAATAAATGCTCAGAGTGACAGCTGAATGCACAAAGCTCAGTGGGATTTTGATCAGTTCCTGCACACTTCTTTTTTCTTCTCTTGTTTCATTTTGACATCATTTCAGGCTTACAGAAAAACTGCAAGGAAAATACAAAGAATCCCCATATACCTCGAGTTTGAGAATCTGTCTTTTAAAAATAATATTTAATATTTCATAGCCTAATTAAGTATGATGGACATAGCTATTATAAATCTAAGAAAGTGTTTAGCTAGTATATGAATAATTTCAAGCAAGCTGATAGGTTTTTGCTACTACTTTTTCATTTGAAATGTTTTCTCTATTGTCTTAGTTCTGTTTTATTTTTAACTGTCATGTTTATGGCTTATTTTATATAAATTTTATAACAAAGTGACTAAATTAAAAAAAAGAATCCCCACTTACCCTCTACCCAGGGTCCCCAGATGTTAACGTTTACCACTTTGGGTTTATTCTCTTTCTCTAAATGCACACGCACACACTCACACACAATTTTTTTCCTAAATCATTTTAATAAGGTACAGATTCTATGCTCTTTACTCTTAAATGCTCCACTGTGTATTTCCTAAGAACAAGGGCGTTTTTTTAATGTAGCCCCCAGAACCCTGATTAAAATTGGAACATGAACATTGATTTAATACTACTACCCAATCTGCAGAGGCAGCCCTTTCCTGCCGGGTGAAGCCCTCTCCTGTATTCCCTTCACTCCCTGATGAGTGTTCAGCCACTTTCCCCACCTGGTTAGCAAACTCCTGGCTCTCCCCAGTCCTGCCCCTTCTTCCCACCTCCCCCCCTTCTCCCCCTTACGAAACAGGATTTTTCCAGCAAGGAGACCTGACTCGTAACTGATGGGACACTGCCATGTCCATCCTCAAACATGCGACTGTTTAACGTCAACACCAAGCCCAGGGCAGAGCCAACCCCCAACACGAAACCCCAGGCAGCAGCGGGCAGGCGCCAGCGGTGATGGACACCCTGCCCTAATGGTATTTGCTTTTCTCCTGTGCAAACGAGATGATGGCTGTAAAGGGTATTTGCCCTTTGCCTTGCAGTTGCTTTTCTGTACTCCAAAGAGAAAGCAAATTTTGACTGTGCCCAGTAATAAAGGGCACCTGACAACCGATTTCTCACCTTCATGCTGGCTGTCGTCAACGTGAGCAGGACAGAGGAAGCAGATAGGTGGCCCATCTCGAACTCAGTCTTACTCCACAAGAATGTGTATTCTTCCCAAGTCTAGGTCTCACCCTGGACAAGGAGTACTTCCTTTCTGCACCCACCAATGGGGGAACGCCTCCCTAAAAGCAGGATATAGGTGTGGGAGTGACATATGGAAAGAGGAAAAAAATGAACTGGATATTCGCCATCATCAAACAAGGAGGAATAATTGTAGATACGGACGGGCAGAGGTTGGCTGAAATACATTAGCCCCCGCCCTTTCCACCAGCAGTCACACCGCCTTGGACACCAGTGCTGGGCTCGGGGAGAGAAGGAATGTCCCTGGGGAAGGCAAACACCAGGTGAGGTGAGAGAGGGCAGAACCTCTACCCGGGCAGAGGCTGTGACCAGAGCCCGGGAGAGGGGCGGAGCATGGCGCTCAGGTGTGGGCCCAGCTCTGTGGGGAGCCCACGTGGTGTGCCCTAAAGGGAGGCAGGGGGCTGGGGGGGAGGGGCGGAGACTGGAAACTTGATCCTGCAAGGGGACAACCATGAAAACATCCTTCGCAGTCACGTGGCTTTGAAGAAAAATATAGATCCTGTGGTTTTCCTGGGGCAGAGACAGGGAACCCTAAAAGCCACAGGTGACGTGTAAATTCTGTAAGAAACAGGAAGTGGTGGTCGTTAAATCTCAGCAGTCATTGCGTCTTGGGTGCACGTTGCTTATGTGGCCACAGCGGCAGAGGGAGGGGACAGATCCAGCCTGGCCATGCTTCCCCAAGGTCGACTCAGCCTCTGCGTCACTGGCAACACCAGGTGTCACTCCAGACATGCCTGTCTTCCTTCCTCCCTCTCAGAAGGAACCCTTCCCCCTGTGCGACGCTTCAACTCACCATCCTGAAGGTGGCTGATCTCTTTCAATGATTAATATTTTACATTTGTTCCAATTATGTTTTATCGCTCGCATTTCACCCTCTCTCAAACACTTAAAAGCCTTTTCTTTTCTTTCGTTCCTTTTTTTTGGGGGGCCCCTATCCTCCTGGCTGATTGTTTTGTTTTGTTTTTTGGTAGAGTCCTAGGTAAGCAGAGGTGCTGCCAGTGCGGGAGGGGGCAGGGTTTGAGAGCAGGGGATGGAGGAAAAGCGGGCAAGAGGGGAGGACGGGGTTGATGGAGGGAAGGAGGTGCACGTGGTGCATTGTATCCTGTTTATCCAGCTGACTCATGGATCATTAGCAGAAAATGGACATAAATGGGGAGCAGAGGCTGGACACACGGTCCTGGGTTTGGGACATGGTTAATTTAATTGAGAGTGCTTTGAAGAAGGAAAAAAGTTGTACACACATATCGTGGGCTAAGCCCTAATGACTTCTGTCTGCAGAACTTCTGTCGCACTTGGGGTTTGTGTCTTTCAATTAGTGCCACAGTCGGTAGAAATACACCATTTGGCCCATATGCCAGAACAAGTATCACCTGGTATTAATGTTCTTGTTTGTATGCGTTTGTCATGCAGGTAGGCTACATCTTTTTCAAGTGCAAGGCCACCATCTTTTTTTAAGCATGCTGTATCCAAACGAAGCTGAGTAATAAGTATATGCTTAGTATGAGTATTAACTCGTATGATCCCCAACAACATCATGTGTAGGTATGTCATTATCCCCATTTGAAGATGAAATGGCTGAGGCCCAAAGTCATGTAACCAGGAGGAGGCCGAGCTGGGCTCTGGACTAGATAATCCAGGCAGATCTTCCCATCGCAGATCTGTAATCACGTCAGCAAAGATCTCCTCCTCTTGTTTGTTTTTGGTCAGATGAGGTCGCACTCACAAGTTGCAGGCATGAGGATGTGCATATCTTTTGGGGGTGGGCTTTTTTCACCCCTGCATAGGAGGTTATTTGTGGATTTGATTTATCTATGTAAACCTCGTCTCCCGTAACCAACCAACCGGTCCACACTTCTTGGAAAACACCAGGCATCTTCTCGGTGGGTAAAGGCTTGTGAGGCAGCTTCCTGGGAAATTCATCCATGCCTGAGAGGAGGAAAGAGCGAGCAGGGCAGGCGGTGACCCAGCCAAGGATCGTTCTCTGTTCCGAGCGCCGACGTCTAGTGGAGACCGAGGGACTGGGGCTTTCTGTTCTTTCATGGGATTGTCTGTCTAAAGGTCATACGTATTAGAGATGGAGAGTGACTTAAAGGTTTTTCCACACTCATTTGTAGGATTTTCAAAGGAAAGACCAGAACAATATGGTCAATTTTACATGAAGAGAGGGTTTTATTCAGAGGCCAATTATGGGGAGGAAGGGGATGCAACCTTGGGAAAGGGCGGGAGACAGTGGGCTGTTGAGAAATGAAAGAGGCACAGACATGAGTCTGTCTGCAACCTGGAAGCCCAAGAGGCCATGTCCTTGAACCACAAGAGAGTAGAGTCCATGAATTACGGCCAGAATCGTCCCTGGGAAGGGAAAGCAGGAGCAGTTTAGCCCCGGTGAAGGTTGTGCTGATGACCCTGGCTGTCACCGCCTTGGGTCTCTACCATGGAACACACACAGCGGCTGCCATATATATGCTGATGTCTTTAAATACTTGAGTAGCTAATCCCCCGTCGAGGACACCTTTCCTCTCTCTTACATGTCTGCTGCCGGGTCCCCCTAAGAAGGCAGTGGAATAGAAAACACACAGGTCCTTTTCAGCCCCACCTTGCTCTCCCCAGCATTCTCCAACCTGTATTTGCTCAGTTGCAACATGGAGGAGACATTTGCAACCCCCAGTGCTGGGGGAGGGTCTGACACAGAGACAAGGGTCAGTGAGCGTGCAAGAGCTCTGAACTGGCGATTTTCGATACAGAAAGGCATTCCTGTGCCTCCCAGGCCCACACGTTATCTTTCTGCCAAAAACCCGGGACTCCACTACTCGTGAGTATCTGAGAAAGAAAAAGCAAACGTAATCTATATTAAAGTGTCATTCACTGTGTTTTCTCCTTTTCTATGTTTCCTTTTTCCAGATGGTAACAGAAAATAATCCAGATGGGGTGCAGGTGCTGTAAAATGATACACAGGTAAAGTTGAGAAAAAACACAACTCACTGGAATGGAGGAATCCATGATTCCCACATGGAGGCATTTCTCTAGCTCGGGGCAGGACCGGCATGGCCAGGAAATTAAGAATTTGGAACTGCATTGATATCATTTAAGAGGACAAGTGGCCTAGATTTTTAAACTGTTTGGGGTTTTTTGCTTCCTTCTCAGAGACGTTGGGAACCCCATCATTCTCTGAGACTGAATTTGGTTGGGGCTGAATTTACATTTCTCCAGAGAGTTTCAGTGCAGAGAAAAGCTTGGGTTTCAGAGGACGCCCAGCACGGCATCGCTGGAAATAAATCGTCCCCGTCACATATGTACACCCAGTGTTTTCCAGATTCCGTTCCGGAACAAGGACAATAGAACAGAATTCTCCGTAAAATAAAGGGAAAATTAACGGATGATGTTGCTTCCTTAACAAATATATCTTTATTATTATTATAGTTCTATGCCATACCTTTATACATATACGTATGTATTTTTATCCATATATATGCAGATACATACATACATATACAAGTGTTACTCCACTGCAATCATAATGGGAATGTTAGACTTTACAAAACAATTTATTTTATAAGTGTCTTTCATGCCAGTCCAGACTTTCTATTTATCATTTTGATGACTGTATAATATTCCATTGAGGGGGTGTGCCATCAGTACTTACCCAGTTATTTCCCTGTGTTTGGACATTTAGGGTTTTTGGGGGTTTTTTGGTTTGTTTTCAAATTGCATGAATCGCTTTTTCTGTGCCATCTTCCCACCCTTTTTTGGATCCCCTCCTAAGACCTAGTTCCGGTGGTGGGACATTTTTACACCAACTGTGTCTACTTGATTTAGACACACATACAGGCTTAAATGAGTAACTGATCATAGCAATTAACAGGAAGAGAAGGAATTGTTAATAGTAGAAATTAGCGGTTAATAGTCATCAATAAGTAAAGCTGATAGTGAGCCCGACTGACCTTCATTGTTCTCACCCCAGCTATCTCTTCGACCCGGTCCAAGTGCCCTCGCCTGGCTACGTCAACGAAGTGAACAGCTGCAAGTTCGATGAAGAGGACACGGTTAAATTGAAAGGCAAGCAGAGCGGCGAAGTCCAGGTGCACAACCATGACCTTCAGGGTGAGGGCTTGAGGAGGACTGTGAGCAGAGGCAGAACAGCTGGCCCGCAGGAGCCCTGCTGGCCTCCCCAGGGACCGCACCCTCAAGGCGACAGAGGAGGGGGACACTGTGCGGAGAAGACTGGCGGGGCCGTCAATGGCATCGGGCCCACTGCGGTCCTGCAGCCCCCTGGGGATCCCGGGTCCCAGCAGGGTGGCACAAGTTCCTGGGCCGGTACAGCGAACCGTGTGCACCTGACTCCACCCTTCCTCGAGGGAGGGGACGCCAGGGAAACAGACTGGGCGCTGCAGTCCTCGGAAGAGACCCGAGTCATTGGACGTGGAGACTCCAGGGTCCCTTCCAAGGCAGAATGCCCTGCCGTGGGAGTACAAGACCACGTCCTCCAGATACCAGCCCCAGACTACCCCCAGTGTTGGGGCTTAGCTGGAGGCACCGTGGATCACGAGGAAAAAGATCACCTTTTCAAGAGCCATCCTGAGGAGCCACCCCTGGAGGAAATGCACTCTGACGTGGTAGGGCGGGGTTTGAACATGCCCTTCTCCGTGAAGAGAAGCTGGGATTCACTAAACGAGGCTGTGGCGGCAGAAGCCCTGAGCGTCTACTTTAAAGAAGAGGATCCTGCCCAGGTCGTGCCTGTGGCCCATCCGACAAATGGGTGGGAGGATGCCCCCGGCTGTGCTGCAGATGGGATTGGGGGGACAGAGGACGAGGACGCTGCAGTGGCGGAAGCCCTGGCAGCTCTAGAAGCAGCTACTGCAGGAGAAGACTTGGACGAGGCGGATTAGGGTAGGGGCTTTGCGCATGCAAACAAGCTAGGGTCGTGAGGGGGTGAGGGGCATCCGGGGATGTGATTGCTCCGCAGACACGGAGCTATATCCCTGCAGCGAGTGGTGCAGCCTCGCCCATTGTTTACAGCCAGCATCTGTTCTGATGATTTGAGTTCCCGTGCCACGTTCCGATCGAGAGTGTCCCTGCACAGATGGCCCATCACTCAGGACACTGGAACAAAAGTCAGAGTGGGCCAGCCTGCCCGCCGCTCCCCACAGCTCCCCACAGCATCTGGTGCAGATGCGCTGAGATCCTAGCACTTCAGCCCAGGAGCACGGACTCACGGGACATTCTCCTCGTTAATTCTTTATCTTGCTTTCAAGAGCCAAACGTTGGACCCATCCTGGAGGAGGTAACTTCCCCACTATAAGTGCCTGTTGTGTCCCCGCGCCAGAGCATGGCCCACGTGCAGGGACAGTCACCCAGGGAAGTAATCACTAACCAGTTGTCTGACAGCCAGTGAAGCTCAGCAGCACTCAGGGTGGCGTGGAAGCCACGAATAAACAAATGGTTAGTCATTAGCTGCGCCATTACGACACCTTGACCTTAACTTTTTTACATTATTACTTTTTAATCTCCTTTGGGATTGGGGAGGCCAGTCAAAATAATTCTTGAAACTGTGTCATGTTTGTGTTTGAAGTTGATGAAATTTGGAAAAGTGAAGGGACATATAGAGTGCTTTATGCCATTTAATGCCTGATTCTGATTAAAGTATAACAACATCATGCGGCTGCCTGTATTGACTCAATGGTGCTTCTAATATTCCCAGACTGAGTGTCAGAGACGTTTGGTGGTTTTGGTTTTTGGTTTTTGGTTTTTTAATTTAAAGAGCCAGACTTCTCCATCATACTTGAGGAGATCAGGTCACTTTGCGGAGGACTTTGGCTCCCTGTCCTTGGGATCCAAACCCTTGACAATGTGACTGCCTGGGCCTTAAGGATAAACAGGCCATCTCTGGGTGTCAGCCTTCTAACTTATAAAAACAGGGACAGCCATTCTGACACGAATTGACAGAGAATTTCTAGGATTGTCAAGACTATCTAGAAAAATGTAAACGTGGAAGATGCTTTAGTATGGTGTTTCATAACCCGTTCTGAAACCTGGTTCACCTTGGTTTGATTTCCAGCTGGGCCACACGACCTCAGGCAAGTAGTCGACCCCTTCTGTCCGCCCACCTGTTAATTAAGAACAAGAACAGCGTGCACTTGTAAAGAGTAAATGAGACTGCATGAGTGTGGAGCATAAGGCCTGTCCCATAGTAGGCACTCAGTCAAATAAGTCTTCTTAGTTAGAAACACCCTTTAAATCAATGTTTACATCCTCACAACGGAAGATGCTGGTACTATGAAATATATATAATGCCCTCAGGCATTTTAGTAACTATTCAACATAAAACATGATTTCTGAGCCTTCGGCATCTTTAAGGATAGTGCCCTAAGAAATGCTTAACTGACACACATTACCATGGGTTTGTCTGGTGACAGGTCACCCGTACACACAAGGTCACTCAGAACCATTAAAAGATAAACTGTTGGCACCATTAATTGCATTGGAGATGTGTTTGCTATTGTATTTGGTACACCGAATACTTAATGTTTCAGAGCAGTTCCTTCAACAGTTTCCCAAATGTATCTGCTGGGATTAGGTCCCAGCTGCATGTGATAAATGGCTCATAAAAAAAGGTATTTGCTTGCCTCTTCTGTAGAAAAGTCTGGAGGATGCATTTTGGGCTGGTAGAGCATTCCATGGTATGAGTGACACATGCCCCTTCTATAATCTTGGCTTCCTTCTCAAGTTCACCACGTCGTCCATAGCAGCTGCTGGGGCTCCAGTCATTCCATTTGCTTTCCACATAGGAAAAAGAATAAAGGGTCAGAAGATGTCACTTCCTCTCTACTAAGGACCTCCAAGAAGTATAATTCAGCCCTTCTGCATATACCTCGTTGGTCAATTGGTCAGTATCTGGCCATATCTAGCTGCAAGAAAGGCTAAGAAAATGTACCTTTCTAGCTGTGCACGTGGCTTTTCAAATAAATTCAGGACTCAGTTACTGAGAAGGAGAAATGGGCGTCACATTTTGAGGCGGGCAGCTTATAGTCTTTGAACATCAGGTCTTCACAACACAACAGCCTGGGAAAGAGCCAGTTGGCAAGAGGTTGAAATTGTGAAATTGTATTTATATTTAGTGTAACACAGAAGGGGTTTAAACCTTTGGTCCAGGGGAAGGAGAACTGGACTGTAGTCCCCACTGATATCTCTGAAACAGAAGGATTAAAGAAGGAAGTTCAGACAAGAGAGGGGTGAGGTGAGCTTCTTAGCACAAACAAGTCTCTTTCCCTGGCCCAGAACCACTTCTGCACTTACGTACGCACATAATTTCACATTTGAGAACTGCTGCAAATAGTTCACCATGATTAACAACTCTCCCAGGTTTTAAAGGTTCTTTTTCGGGCAAATAACTGCTTCAAACAGTGAACAGATGACCAAGAATTTCAAGTTTGTTTTTTTCTTAAAGTAATCCTGGCCCCTTGTGTCTTTATCCCAATGTCCAGACTCCACCAAAGAATGTCAGAGGAAAGTCAAAATCTTGAGGTTGAAAAGAAACTCCAGACTTGGCTCTATCCATGAGGGTGTCTGGCAGCTGCCTGAGCATCCTGCTCCGCACGGTGCTTGCTCTCCGGAGCCTGCCGCCACCTCTTAGCAGAAGAGTCTGCCGACAACAGTGAGCCTTCCCAAAACATTCTGGAGAACTGGAAAGCTCAGATGCACTCTCGGTGTAAGGCACTGGCTGTGGTTAGGAGTGGACATCACACGCAGTTCACGATCTTAGCAAATTGTACCACTGGGTATTTACCAGGTCAAATCTTGATCTTAAGGCTTTTTTGTGTATTACATGTATGTTTCTTGAGCTAAGAAGTTAGAGTTCATTTTTTACTAGAGGAAGTTGAATTAGTACAATACTATGAAAGTAAATCTTTTTCCCTGAGTTTTAAGGTAGATAGTAGCAAGTTGCTATAGCTGTCAGACCAGATCCCCAGAAGAATGAAGGGAATTTGAGGTTTCTTAGCGCGCGCCTGTTTGTGTATGCTTGGGAGTTGTGGGCCATTCGCCTTTCCCTCTTTCTGCCTCACACTGCCTTTGCTCTGAAGGGTGAGAGTCTCTGCCCTGGCCAGGTGGCTCAGTTTCTTGGAGTGACCTCCCATACACAAAAAGGCTGTGGGTGTGATTCCTGGTCAGGGCGTGTATAGGGAGTGACTGATTAATGTTTCTCTCTCTCTCTCTGAAATCAATTTAAAAAAACATATCCTCAGGTATGGATAAAAAAAGCAAAAGGGTAACATTATCTCTTCTCTTCTGACCTCTCCTGTCCGTATCCCCAAGCAGGAGGGGCCCCGGGAAGAATGCACGAGGCAGCAGGTGCCAGCGCGTGGGCGGAGAGCCCCTGACTGCCTGCGTGCTGTCGTCTGCGTGCAGACACAGGCACGTGGCCTCCAGTCTTAGATTTGAACCTTATTTTCCACCGAGGGGACTCCTATTTGCACCAGTCTTTATGATACAAATGTGGAAGTTCTTCCTTTCTGTTTAGTTTTGCCCCTCAAGTGTAAACCTCCTTCATTGTGAAATCCTCTGTTTCAGAAGTAGAGCTAATTAAACAGAGAAGCCGAACTTTGTTCTTCATGGTCCATCCTCTTCCTGTTAATTTTTGGGAAAAGTTACTCCTTTATTTACTAACTTTGTAAGTTTCTCCAACGCATCAAGTTATGGTGGACACATCGACACAGTCTGACTTTTGAAGCAGCCTCAGCTACGGTAAGAAACAACGGTTTAGACAAACCTATTAAACACGCTGGTAACAGATGATTCTCACCCACACGCTGAAGTCAGTTGCTTGGAGTTGACTATTAGCAATTTTTGTTTTGTTTTGTAATTTTTTTATTGAATGTATTGGGGTGACACTGACTGATGAAATTACACAGGCAGCAGCAGGGGCACAGTTCTGTAACACATCCTCTGCGCACTGCACTGTGTGTGCCCCGCCCCGACTCACGTTTCCTCCCACCACCATTTGTCACCCTTGCACTAGCAACTGTTTTTTTTTTCCACTAAAGTGACTATAATAAGCAAGTGCCTTTGCCTAGATCCCCGGGGGGGTGACAGAAGGGGGAACTCAGTGTCACTTGTTGAGTGAAAGAACAAAAGCTCTTCACAGGATAGTTGGAGAAACATCGTGTAACTGAGACTCTGAATACTCATTGCGAGATTGTGCTGTGTTGTCATAAAGGCATAAATACAAGCCCGCTGGAGCACAGTCTGTATAACTTTGAGAGAAATTACATTTATCATTCACCGTCCACATTCTCCAACTTCCTTGCTCCATTTGAACAACAAGGTTTTGACGGGTGGGGGAGAGGTGGTCTGTGGACAGAGAATAGAATTTGAGCATCCGGTGAAGGTTTGGTGTCTGTGATTAGACCATGTTACCTTGAGGACCCGAATTGAGACAGAAACCTTAAGAAAATCAAGGCTTTAGGCCAAGCAGTGGGAAGCTTTGCTGACCACGTTTTCCATTCATCTTGAAATCAACCTTTAAAATCCTGGAAGAGAAAGAACAAAAGGACGTGCATTTGTGTGATGAGACCCAGAAGTTGCTTTTCTCTCGGCTCCTGATGGTAGATTGCCTCTATAGTAACACCTGCATGTACCATAAACATGTCATATACTTCATAGAGCAATATTAAGATGAGAGAATTAAACATTAGAGTTTTAACATTCTCTTTCCACATCCCTGGGCGTGGAACCTTTGAAGACCACTGATGTAGAGAAGCTCACGTGGACTGTCTGCCAAAGTGCCTTGTAAACAGACAAAACTAGATGCACGGTTTTGACATGCACAGCATCCGTGTGCCTGCGAGCCACACACTGAGAATACAAGCAAACATGAAAATGCGTACCCCAGCGCTGCTCCTCTGTCGGCCCCCACCCCACCCTGTGAGCCCGATTTCCAAGAGACTGCTACATTTTCTGTTTTTAAGCATTTTTGGAATAGTTAGTAAGAAACTAGGGTAAAATATGACCAAGAGTCAGGAAAGTAGCCAAAGAATTTTACCTACCTGCCTTATCAAAACTGCACATTCCAGACTCACATAAGTAAGTGAGACAGTTGGTGGACAGGCTCATTGGAATATTTGTTTAGATCTCGCTATTTTAAAAGCAAAACTATAAAATTTTCTTTTGACCTCAGTTACCAACCTTTAAAACAACTACAAAAAATAATTTCATTCCCAATGTGAAAAAAAATTTCAACCTTTTCCGTTTTCCAAAATAGTCCTACGGCTATGGAGGCGGCACGTGTAAACTTCGGTACTTACATAAACAAGGAAGATCTCACAGGTCAAAGAGGGTGGAAGGTCCCATTAACAAACATGCTCTCTCTGTCTTAAATGTTGCTGCTTACAAAGGGAAGTTTTAAATTACCCGTTTATGAGGCCTTAAGAGTGTAGCTCTAAGATTTCTGTGACACCAGCCATCATCCAAGGGACGAACCAAGAGCTGTCACAGAACTTAAAGTTGACGTTTATGGTGAAGAAAGTGGTAACAAGAAGAATATCTGCAGAGCCACTATATCAATGTAATTTGCCAAATAATATACTTGCTGCTATAGAAACTTTATTCAGTAGTAATTTCTGGGGGTCACCAAGTCATAGTTTTTTGTTTTTAATAGTAT